TTCTTTGTATAGCATATATACATAAACAAAGAATAACCCTAACAACGCGATAATAAGAATGATAATTTCTGTTTGACCGATCTTATCTGCGCTGAATCCAGGTCACTATCAGCCACAAAAAAAAATCAATTATGCACATTTCTTAACCTGACTGCCATATCATACAAACCTATTTGAACTGCAAGTTTGTTCGTGTGTGTGTGCGATGTATATGTTGTGCTGCACATTTATTTGAACAAATAAAAGAAAACTGCATATGAAATTTTTTCCCCCACATCATATATATATATATATGCATGTGAAACATTATCACAAGTCCAGACTTGTTTATATCATGGCTGTTGAGGCATGACTGAAGTTGATGGTAGGTGTCTATCAACTAACAGTTCTGCTTCAAAGTTATTAACTCAACTTCCAACTGAATATGTTTATGCGATTATTTTCTCCAGCGGTGGTGTTGGGAGGGGGTTAGGGTTGGTGTGATCCCGGCTCTCTAATTCTTATTCTCTCACACATGTAACAGGTGGTAACATTAGCTTCCTCCGCCTCCAACTCCATGTGTTTATTTCACTGTGTGATGTATGAACAAGTGTACCGGGTCAACTAAGCTGTTCTGTTCTGAACAGTCATGCCCTCTACATAATGTCTGACCTACCAACAACCTGGCTACGGATATATCTATAAATGCTGGTTACTACTGGTGTGTTCACTAAGTGTATGTGAAATGCTTGTTCATTTCCTGGAAAGAAGAGTTGTACATTTACATTTACAAGAATGGTTTCTTATTATACAAGTATGTTGTTTAGCAGTTGATGTTAAAACATACGCCCTTGAGATTCACTGATTCCGATGGACAAGTTTTACCAGCCGGTGGCATTAAAGGTTGTTTGATGGTTACATCTAGGCACAAGAGGCTTTAGAGTTAAATATACAAAAACTGCATGTTCACTGCTTCACGTACGCCATGGCTTATTGCATCAAAAATACTTCGTCCCTACTAATATCCTATTGGTGCACTGTTTCAAACTGGTATATTTGGTGCTCCTATTTCACCTTGTTCACATAGCTTTCAAGATGAGTGTGTACTACAGGATTAGTATGGAAGGCAGTTATACAATGGTTTTAAATGTTTCATATTTATTTCTACTATGTAGTTATTAACGGTTAAGACATGTAACTAAGTAGGTTGTTCAAATGCAAAGGACTATGAGTGAACTAAAATTTGGAGGCATTCGATTTACTTAGTAACTCGTCTTAATATAGTCAATAATAACTAGATTAAAAGGATTATTAGTATTAGCAATAGCATACCAAGATTGCTTTATCTCAGTTGATATGTGAATATATTAGGTAAAAGGCACACAGAGTTGTACAGTTTTATTTCATTTACTGTGATGGTGCTTGGCGCACAATTATTGTTCATCATAATCATATGTGCGTCGGTGGCACAGTGGTTAGGACTGTCGCCGACCATGCATATGGTACGGGGTTCTATCCCCTGCTGACGCACACCTGATATCTATTATCGGCCTGCAACATTTGGGCCACCGATATCACATGCTGCAAATTCCATACCTGTACCAAAAATACAGTGTGGAATCAAGCTGTAATCAAAAATAAATATAAACAAATAAAAATAAAATATCAAGGTGCAAAAAGAGGAGCAAAAGGCAAAATTATTCACCACTGTTTATAAAAAGTCAATATATTCATGTATGATATGGAGCGCGGCAACTCGAAATGGTGCACATCTGTTCAAAGTTCTATACTGAAACCAGTCAGTCAGTCATGTATGAGTATACTCTAGATCACCTCATCCATTCTCTGTAAAGGCAGGCTTATCTATTAAATGTCTTACAAACCAAGAGAAAATTCTAAGTAGATTGAATAATGAAATAGACCAGGTCGATTGAGGATTGGTGCCACGTAACTATCCTATAAAATTCATTAGAAAGTTCAAAATAACCTCATAGCAAAAGAAGAAATAGTAGTGAAAGTATTGATCATAACATGAACAATAACAATGAGTCTAAGGCGTCTACCGTATTACCGTACATCGGAAACCCTATTCATGTAGGATTCTTAGTAAATCAGAAATAAGAGTAAAGTGCGAATCCGAAAATCCTATAGGCTATCGGATCCTATTAACCGAATCAGACAGAATAATGTGCAAAATATCTTCCAATGATTGAGTAGTCGACAGCCATATTGGTCAGTCCAGTGGGTCGAGGTCAGTGAGGTCGTTGAAATACAGGAAGTTAGCTAAGTTTCGAATGATTGTCTTCAAAAAGATGATCAACTTATAAAAAAACTCAGCAACTGTAATGCACATTTACAATAGAGTGGAACACAACTATAGCTAGGTGGGGGAAGGGCAGAGTGAGTGATCACTGACTCCCTTGTTCTTCAGATCTAAACTTAACACTTGCAGCTGCTTCATTTAAGTAGGATTCGTTATTGTTATTACTTTATTGAGAAGTCGTAACCAGTTAATATAACTACAACACTGTGCGACTTATCAAAATAAAATCTTATCCATAATGGAGTTATGCTCTACCACAGTGCCCAAGTTTTATACTTATAGGTAAGGGAACAGTTACCGACGGAGGGCATTGGCTGGCAGTTGTGCTGTGTATATCGTTAAGTGGAATATCGTTAGTTTGGAATTCATAGGCTACTGGATCGGGCCCCAGTTGTTGAATGAGCTTACCATGTAGCTGGAAGGTCCTGAGTTTGAACTCCACTGGATACGTACTGATGAAGAGTCTCAAACTAGGATGAAACAGCTGTCCAGTACTCCCTGGTTTTCCTACGGTTCGCCAACTGATGTCAACTCGTTATCAAACCCGCAATCAATAGTAGTCTTTTGAATGTTTAAATCCAAAAATCTCTAAACCCTTCTCATCCAAAAGCATAAATGCTCTGTTTTGCTGCGGTGCTAAAGCTTTTCCTCTCATACAATAGCTTCGATTTTTTCCCTTTACGTTTCCTCTTTCGCTGCACTTTTTAGTAAGACATAATTTGCTGTATTGATCGATCTAATTTTGGTGCCCAAATTATTTTGTAGATTTATAACATCTATTATCATTAATATTCCTGTTTGTACGTATGTGTATGTGTGACTAACTGGCATTTTTCTCTGAAGGAGATTTTCTGTCCTTTTCTTTATTTCCCAAAATTGCTGACTTGTGCTAATGGACCGTCCTAATATTACAATATCTATCACAAAAGCTGCGTTAAAAACTAATGTCTATATATATATATATATATATATATCATAAACATTATCTTTTGTGTATTCCTTTGTTAAATAATCCAGAATATATTTGCTGGAACAGGTGGTTAGATTAGATTATAGGATTTTTTGTGCACAGTCATAGTCTTTAAACTAACTGCGTTTGCATTCGTCTATGTGTAACGTTTATCATGTGTGTGATCATTTACTTTACTGTTTACCTTTATGTCATTCTAATGTTCTAATGATTAACCTTTTCTTCGTTTTGAAGAAAAAAATACCTTTTGTACAAGTTTAAATCACACAGAAGGGATAAAATCTATAAAGTTAGTCATCGTCAACATGATGTGATATTTTTTGTCTTCTATTTGATGGCAATAAATAGAACCTAGTCGTATTTGGTTCACATTTGAATGGTATCAAGTATATATATATATATATATATATATATATATATATGACTGGTGACGTTTCGAGGACAAATTATTGCTTCATTTATATCCATGATTAAAAATTGATTAGACATTTGAATCAGAACAATATAAGATAAAGTAGTACATTCGGAAATAATATTAATGATACCAATCTGATTGATTATTCCTCACTGCTTTGAAATATTGTGGTAGTGTAAACAATACGCCACACTAATTTTATTCTTGTTTCTCAAGCTCAATGCACACACACACATGCAAAAATAATTATCTATAATTGCAATTATACAGCTAAGTGAATGAATTCGCCGAGAAGACTCTTTGCTGAACTATCTGTCCTTATTCCCATGTTTGGTTGGGTATTTTTTCGTGAGATAATTACCTGAACCTCCTGTTTATTCCCCCTATTCCACCATGTTTTCAATTCGTATTTTTATTAAAAAAGCCATCTTGTTATTTGTTATATTTTGACCTCTGATCAGAAATAGTAGTAGGACTTTCTCACCTCTTTGTTATTACATACGTACGAATGTATAACCCCCTAGTTGCTGACTTTGGTCATCGAAATTTTTCCCTTCGTTGCAACAGTCTTTGAAGAAATTTATTATTACCTACATCATATTCAGTTTTGAATAAGGTAATATGGAGTCTTTATGTGCATGCAGACTACTGATTTTTAGTTTTCTTTTTAATGGGAAGAAATTAATACCTATTCTTCCGAATTTGTGCTGTTTTGTTTTAGGCGTGCAAATCGGTAGACATAGCTGGATATAAAATCAATAGGGAGGAATTATCCAGCCTTGTTTCACGCGATAAATCATTCCTTTTTTGAAAAATGATCACTGTTTGTCAATGTGACACTTTCTCCACATGTATTATTCATAATGTGTCTTACCTATCATTCATGTCAATAACTTCCTGCCATGGTGATAAATATGTATGTGTAGAGTAGCTAAGTTAATTGGCTTAAACACTAAACTTTCATCCAGTAATGCTCTGGGTTCGAAACCCAATCTACCTACCCACTTTAGTCAGGTGAACTAGACTATAATATTTATAAGCTTGAAGGTTGTTCAGTCTGTAAACATCTGAGATTAAGAATTTCTAAGATCATAGTTGTTTTTGCAATAAGTTTCGCTGGTTAAATGTTCCTTAGGAAGAATTGTAAAATACAGTTCCCCAGGTCACTTGTATTTAAATATTTTTAAAAGTTAGGCATTCCCACTTAATTAATTCTCTGTATTATTGACATTTGACTTGCTTGTTTGTTGTGTGTTCCTTTGATTTGAACCCCTTCCTCTTTTTCTTTTCAAATTGTTTCGCCTTTACTCTAGAGAACAATTCCATTGGCTATATGAATCAAATCACTATTGTTCATCATCCTCAAAGTAATAGTGATAATAATCCTGGGAACTTTGAATACACAAAGCATATGTCTGATAATCTTTGGTCGTTAATTTTCAGTATCATCCTGATATTGAGTTTTTTTGATATTGACAGTATATGGCCAAAACATTTACGATATAGTCTTACTTTATCTGTGTCATTATTGTATTTCATATTAACTAATGTCAATTACGCTTTGACACATTTTGAAACACTCAAGTTACCGAATATATTTGAGAACAATACATTTCTATTAAATACATCGTTGACTACAACAACATTATGTCCTGGATGGATTCAGAAGGCTACCTTTATCCAACCCGTTTCATGGTGGACTGATCATAAAGGGATATTATGGAGAAGTGTAAGTTTAATTGTACTGTTATTTATTTTTAAAGTTTATGTTTTCCTGCAACAACCAGTAGAACTGATTAAATTAAGAGTGTAATGGTAGTTACCCATCGATACTAATCGAGTGATGGTTAGCTATTCATTTTATTACTTTATGTTCCGAGTAAAACATAGGGCTTCAAACTTAAGCTGTGCAGTTTCAGTAGCAGTTATGCTTACTTTTTACGGGTGGGATTGCTTCCTTCCTTCTTTTCCGAGCTTACTGCCGGCTAAGTGGGGTTTAGGGTTGATCCGGTGGCTAAGGATCAAACCCCAGACCACGTGTGGCGAAGTTCTACCTCTGAGTCACACCGACGCACAAAATACACAGCAATCGGCAGAAGGCGAAAATCACTGATTGTCGAATTCTGATCAAATGATTGAACGGTAGAACCAACACCTACTGTTAAATCTTATCATCATGGGTCTAATCCTGTTCGCTGTCACAACTGGGCACTGCTGAAGATTCCTGGATAGTGATGAAATACTTCCAATTGTTTCCTTATTTTTTAACTCAGTTGTGTAGCTAATAATCGTTAACTAAGGACAAATCTCTTGTGGCACCAGTTACATGTCCATAATACGTATGCACTTGGTGAATATTACAAAGGTGTACCCACTGATGGTAACGAGATATTCACAAGTGGAGAAAAGATACCCATATGAATTTTTATATTGATAAATCTTGTGATATTTATCTCTTGAGAATGAAAAATGGGTACTAGCAGTAACTGACATACTTATTATTATCCTTTCTGACCATCTGATCTTGATTATGAAGCGAACTTACTTACTTTACTTTACTTCGGCTATCTCCTACGGGAGGATGAGCCGGCTTCATGAACGTCTCGAATCATCGCTGCCCAGGCGCGGCAATTTGTAAGAGAGTTCATGAAGTTTCATAGGAATTTGGTACGAGTGATGTCCCCAGCATCGCTCGGCCTTTTGTTTGAGAGTGCAGCTCTAGCCTTTACACAGCCAAGTGTGACCTACAAGGCAGTAGGAGTGGAGTAGGGAGTCCACTATCCATTGGCAGCCGGTGACCGGAGTTCGGTTCATACGCCTTTTTGAATGGGGCCAGACATCCAGGACATCCAACAAGCCCTTTGTCCATACGTCTGGCGGTGAGCTCCAGTGAGCTTCATACGCCAATCGTTGGAGGTTTGGAATCAGGGTTTAGCGAAGTGAACAGTTGTCCATAGTGATGGGTGATAGTTGTTGTTGTTAGCGGTCGGGTATCTTCATTACCTCTGTCTTCTCTATGTTCGATTGGAGTCCTGTCTTCTCTGTCTCTTCTGACAATTTGTTGGTTTTCGTCTATAGCTCTCTGAATTTGTGTGACATTATGCATAAATCATCCTCTTACTTAATCCCCGTTCCATTGTTAAGCCAAGTACATTTCTTTTTAACGCTTCTTTGTGTAATTTTCATGTTTCCAGTTACTGACTTTCAGGTCTAACGATGTAATCTGTCACTGAGCTTTGTACATATCATACGATACAAGAGTTGTTTCATATATATATATATATATGACCTTTAGGTTACTATCATTGACAGTTTAGCCACTAGGAATCCTTTGAAAAGTCGTTATCAGTGGAGTCCACCAGGTTGGGTAAGAAAACACATTAGCTGGAGTGGGGATAAAAATCTCCACTTCATGGGTCGGTGAATTCCCTCCCAGTAGTTGAATAGTCGATGAGTTTGCCGCATAACTTGAAAGTTCTGAGTTCCATTCCTGTTGGGGTACATATTTCTGAAATTTCTCTAACGAAACGGCTGTCTCATACTCTTTGGTTATAAATTCATAGTTGACAGCATCAATGAGTTTGTGATACACGTACTTACCAGTGAAACATTAATACGAATCATATTGAAATTGTTGAGTGTTTATTATTTAACAACTGTGTAAAGTATCATTCTAACTCATACCCACCGTAGTGTGTGAATTTGTATAATGTACCTTCCCATGGAATGAAGAAGACTAAGTATGCTTCACTTTATGTACTCTACTTTTCATCATCTGTCATTATAGTTATTAATGTTATTATTATTATTTTCAAATAATTTTCTTCAATTTTATTTATTTTTTGATTTTACTGTAAAGAATATAGCTACACTGTGTGCAATATTTTGTGCACATTTAATTGGTCAAGCAGTTGCAATCTGGACAAGTCGACATCGTTATCGTCTGTTTCTAACAGCTGGTTATGCACAAGCTGTTCTGTACAGATTACAAATGACTGAGTCAAAATTGGTAAGATATTATTTCTTGTAATGGATAAATTTTTACATCCCTATTTCTATCTATTCGTTTTTATTTAGTGTATAATTCATATTGATAATTCATTGTGTCAGGTTGTCTAGGCACTAAGTATTAGCAGCTGTGACTTGCTTATTGGTTCAGAGGTTCACATTTAAAAGTGTTGATTTACATTGATTTGATTGGTTTCAATTTTGATCTTGAATTCATTTCAGTTAGAGAACTCACTGGTAATATTTACATGTAAAAAAAACTTGTGTACTGTGGTAGAGTATAATTCCATTATGGATAGAATTTATTTTGATAGTCTCACAGAGTTCTACGGTAATATTTACTGATGACGTTTCGAGCACAATTTATTGCTCATTTAATGGGATATGATATCAAAGTACTCACACAACTTTCTAACTTCGTTTATATAATTCTATTATTTTCCATCGCTTGATTTGATTGGTGGTAGTATTTTCCATATTTCCGGTATGAGTGATGAGTCATTCTTATCGCACGTGTTGGGTGTAGACTCGATAATCAAGGATTCAGTAATCAATCTCTCTCTCCGTCTACGTATATTACTTCTAAGAATTTTAACCCTCTCCCACCCTACTGTGTGGTTGTGTGTTAATGCATGTAGTGCGATTGCTGAACTTTTTTCTAAATTACCTATCTTCTCGGGGTCAACTATTCTTACCTTAGCCAAATTCTTATGTTCCGCCAATCTGATTATCCCCGATCTACTAGTTTGACCTATATAGTTGTCCTCACCCATAGTCATTGAAGGGTATTTTGTAAATTATATTATTTTGTTAAATCGGGTCCGCCGGGTCTTTTAGTCTACAGAGCTACAGAGCTTGTCTCTGAGTGAGTTTGTAGGTTTGAATTCCACCCTAATTCCTGCTTTATTAAGAATCGTACGTAGGGTCTCAGATGTCCCCTCCTCATATGGTGTAACTGTAGATGCCTTATATTCTCTCTTATTTATGTTATCATCAATAGTTTCCCCATTATTTTTATTTTGCTTTTGACCCTTTTCAATATTCCTAATGAATTTTATAGGATAGTTATTTGATACTAACGCTTATTCTATCAGTTTCATTTCATCGTTTAGTTCCTTTTTGTGCTACCTAGTGCTATTACTCGGTTTGTTAGACACTTATCTAAGCCAGCCTTTACAGACAACGATGGATAAGATGAATTAAAGTCTAAGTATCTATTAGAAAGCGTTGACTTTTTATGAACGCTTGTGTGCAGTTCACCTTCTTCTGTTAGTTTTATTTTGCAATCTAACATAGCTATTTATTGTTCATTTTCTCATTAAAGTGTGAATTTTATTCCCTTTACTAATGAGTTTATGTGTCAAGATGCTAGAGATATGTTCTGTTTTTAACACTGTGGAAGTGTCATCCACACATCACTATATTTTTGGAGTAGGATTAAATGTATTAAAAGCAATATTTCTCCAAGTGTCCATAAATATATCTGCTACGATAGGAGATATTGGTGATCCCATTGCTACACCTTCTGTTTGTCGATATATTTTGTCTTGGAATTTTAAGATGGTAGATGTGAGACATAACTGAATTCCTAGTTCTTCCTTTGAGATATTATTTGACTTTATTTAGCTTATTATGTTGATCTATTAAATTCAATTCCATCTTGGCATCGAAGAGAATGTTTATTATTATTGAAGTCCATTTTGTTTCCTTGAACTCAATTGCTAAGGTTTTCATAATGAAAAAAGAGATCAGAAGTATCCGTAACAGAAAGAATGTCTGTTCTGTTAGCTCGTGATTCTCTTGATTACCAGGCGAACAATTTAATCGTTGTCAACATGTTTGAACCACTGTTTAAGAATTAATAATTCTGGGTTTATGGTGGTCCAGTTACTATAAGCTATACAGTGCTATTTTTTCTCAAGAGAATCATATCATAAAATAGATCTTAGTTTCACCTTGCGTCCACAGAGAACAACTAATTTTATGGTACCAAGCTACTTTACTTAGTTTTTGGGTTCATTTGCAGTCTGAGTGGAACTTAGGAATTCATTAGCAGTAGTGTTGTTTTAATTAAATATTAGAGATTTGTAGCTCAGGTGGATGGTTTTCATGTATTTGCGTTCTTTGAACTGAGTGATGTAATTGGGTAATTAGTTAATGTTGTGTCCTTCCAGACAACATGCATCTTTAGCGCAAATTTCAGTATGAAGTCAACTTATTTGAATTCTTTCTACATGTGTTTGATATACTTGTATCTCCTCACAACGTTTGTTTTGACTGATTTTTCAGTTTGCATCAGTATTGATTGTTTTTATTGGCTAGGTATCTGACTATTTTTTCACCTGGCTTATACTTTACTAGTTGATACATTTACTCTATAGTTATGTGTCTGTTAATCGCTGATTCTTCTGAGTATCAGGCTTCTAGGAATTTTCTCGCATTTTTGGTGTTTCCACTGTGTTTACAATTTCTACATTTTCCCAGTCAAATTGGTGTCCATAATTGTCTGCATGCACCGATATGATAGGATACATTTCATATCTTTTCACAACTAATGTGTGTTCATGACAATGATTGTCATGTGATACACTTATATTATTCATAGGGAATTTAATTAAGTTCACTTCATATTTACTCTGGAGTATACTGCTTTCGCATTTATAAGTTTTTCAAATTTTCGAATTTGTCTTTGCTTAGTAGCATTGAAATGTGCGGACTTTCGATCTTCAATTTATGTAAAAAATTTTCGACTATATATTTTGGTGATTAATAAAAATCCGAATAAATCTGCTGAAGAAGCCGTGGCTTACATGGCGAAACGTTCAGAAAAATCTTGTTTTGATTTTCTTAACACGCTGGGATTGATTTAAATAATTTATAATAAGTTCACTTCATGTTGAAGCTTGCTCTGAAGATGTTGTTTAGAAGGCGGACAACAAAAGCTTCTCATTTAAACCGCATCCAGCTCAGAAAACGCAACCACATTTTACGGTGTGGGTTACTAGCCTCATTTGTAACCTTCCCTCTTCTCCGTGATAACTATGAGCTAGCAAACCAGGTAGAGTTTAGAGGTGCTTTGGTCAGGTGTCGAACCTGGACTAAGCACATTCTAACATTGAATTACCGACTTACTACAGGGACTTAATAATGTACTTTGCGAAATACATTTTAGAAATGATGTGTAGTGCATTCACAGGAATGAAGAGTAACTGAGGTATAATCACATGCGATTGATCGTCTTTACAACTTACGCAAGATAGAATAATTTGATTTTTAAAATGAGAATTCGCACTACATCCATGCATAAACAGCAGGGAGAAAATCATAATTTCCTGTGTTAATTTATTAATTGTAATAATGTAAGGATTTTTGACATATACGAGCAACTGCTAGATGTTTAATTTCGATATTTTTCCAAAATTCATTGTTAAAGCGGTGCATGAATGCATTAATTCAAGTTAACAATGACTAGAACATTATGTGAACCTTGATACCTGAATACAAGTGTATAGGTCGTAAATACAAATAATACTATGGTGTTGGTGTTGGTGTTGGCGCAGACTGAATTTTATTAGCCAAGTTTATAATGTTTTTATCACCATGGTAGACAGTGTACTCTGAATTGATGTTAAATGCGTAGAGGTTCTCCTCCTGTATTGTCTCCTCTCAGCTTCACATTCATATCACCCATCAGGATTTTGATATCGCCATTTGGGACGTTGTCCATTACTGTCTGTAGTTGTCTGTAGAACGCCTCCTTCTTTTCTTGTTCTGAGACGTTTGTAAGCGCATAGCATTGGATGATTGCAACCTTCCTTCCTTTTGAGTTGAACCCGGCTGTCATTATCCTGGAGGAGATTGGTTCCCATTGCATGAGAGCTTTGGCTGCTGTTGGTGACATCATGGTGGCCACTCCCTCGGTGTGCTCTTGATTGTCCTCTGGGTGACCGTAATGGATTACTGTCTCTCCAGTAGGTAGTTGGCACCTTCCAGTTCCGTTCCATCTGCTTTCGCAGATTCCCAACACTTCTATTCTGTACCTTCTCATTTCAGCGGCTATCTGGGCAGCCTTCCCAGCTGGCTTCGTACATTGTACGAACATTCCAGGTACCCATCCTTACTTTTGCTTTCATCGAAAGAAGGCACATCGGCTGACTGGCTTCCCGAAGGCTTTTACCAGCCTGCGTCATTTCACTTCCCCGATTCTAGCTAAAAATAAGGTATCTGTTTATATTTTTAGAATTTTTGATATATTGGTGCATTGAAGTTTCTGTAGCGATTTGGTTGTTTTACGGGGGTGGAGTTGCTAGCGCCACGCCCCAACCCTCCCCCTTTATCCGGGCTTGGGACCGGCTAGAAAACTAGCAAGCTAGCAGTCTAGGCGAGGTTTACTTCGATTGATCCCTAGATAATAATCAATGTCATGCGTCTATTCCTCGTTTTGGTTCAGGTTGTATCTAGTCTCAAATGATCTGATTAACCGCTTTCCCAAAAAAATAACAGGTAGAAAAGGGTGTATGAAATAAATGAAATTGAAAATGACTCATATATACACGAACAAGCATAAAAGAAAATGTCAGTCAACCAGAAGTGGATGTGCTTGGTAGATAGGTTCCTACTACACTTGAAACTTATTGGCGAAGTGCAATGATTGACACTGTAGAAATAGAAAGGCAGAACAAATTCAACAGGCCGACACTGGTGTTCCTATAAGATAACAAGTTTGTTTGCTTGTTTTTAATCTCATTGTAAACGAATCGATGTGGTAGCCCCCCCCCCCCCCAAACGGTAGTTTAAAGGTTTAAACAATCCATTGAAGCTGATATTGTAAAAATAATCATGAACAAAATACACAGAAAGTCGAACTTAGTCATAGCAATAAGTATGCAGGCGAAAACCAACAGATTGTCAGAAGAGACAGAGAAGACAGGACTCCAAGTGAATATAGAGAAGACAGAGGTAATGAAGATACCCGATCACCACCACCAACAACAACCGTTA